CGTGGCTGTGTACTACCTCTGCTCCTGGTTTTTCTTAGGACAACTTTCCCTTTGGTTAGCCAGCAAAGTTTCTGAGTAAGCAGGATTATCTGAGCTTTTTCATGTCATTTAAATGTCCTTAATACATGTGCAATGACATTTATTAAAGGCAGTTCTGGATTTACATCATGGGAATTATATAAATGTGCACTGCATTGTGATTGCAGTATGTTCCCTAGAAATACTTACACCTCTGCATAAGTCACACAGTCGTGTAGAGCAGTGTTTTAAAATTATTTCTGTCTCTGAACTTACTTGCAAGGGATCCACACCATCTAAGAAAAGCTGGAAGGTTGGGAACAGGCTTCTGTTGGATGTGCAGAAGAGTTCATGCTGCATATTGAAAAAGGCTGAGAGCTGACCTGGGTGCTTGGGACAGTTCATAGTTTTGGATGTAGCACTGGATATCACAGTTGTTTGCATCTGACATACAGCTGACTGCATAGAAAAACAATTCCCACATAAGCTGGAAGGAAGCTTTTTTCAGGGGAAAGAAATTATTTTGAGGCATGTTTTGTGAACTCCTTTTCAGCCTCTCTTTATCCCCCTCCTTTTTTTTTTTTTTGCCTTCCTTTCACAATGTCTTATTAAATCTTTTCAGACCTTCCTAGGCCTAGCAGGTTTTTGTTGTTACACAACATCATCCAAGGTGTGCTGGCAGATCAGCTTTATTGCCAGGGATCTAGAAACGAGGGCTCAAGCTTCTTGACACAATTAAGAGGTGTCACATTTGAGCTAGGGATCTCTGGGAGTGGTTGAAGACTGATGTATTGCATGCTGTGGGGCTGAACTCTGAGCAAACACATTTTTTTCAGCACACTGTGACCGTAAAATTTAAAAAGAATACAGCTTTCCAAGGTTATTAGAGATTTTAGGTAAACTGGCTTTTTGAAGGCCTTTGATCTTGAAGGGGTCCAGCTTTTAGGTGTTTCTTACATCAGGTCAAATGGGTGTTTCAAAAACCTGAAAAGCTTTAAAATTAAAGGAAGTCTGAAATTAAATAGAGGGGGAAAAATATGTTGGGGTTTTTTTTGGAAGCAGGGAAATGCAGAACTCCTAGCAGGTGTTTAATCCAGCAGAGGGGCTTTTTCGGATGAAGCTGGGGCTGTCTGACTCTGCAGCTGCCTGTCTGCAGGAAGCCACCTGCCCTGGGGCAGAGCTGAACAGGACCGTGCAAAGGAGGTGCACAGAAGGTGTGGGAGGGAACGGAGACATGAGTCACAGCCTTTTGTAGTGTGTGCTGTATCTTGGCCTCACACTCAGGGGGTTGTTGCAGCTGAGTTCGAGAGAGGCAGAATGTTATTTCTTGATCTTTGGGAAATACGGCAATTAATGAAGAGTGGGCTCACAAATAAAAAAACCCAGGCATGCCCTGGCTTTCTATAAACACACACTAATTACTCAGAAGTACACAAGTTGTCTGCCAGAAGGATGCGTTTTTCAAATGGTGGTTCCAGATGGCCCCTTCTAAACCATATAAATATATGTGTTTTAAAACCGGTAACAAAGAAGGCCGTAAAATAAACTGAAAACTTGCATTAAAAAGAAAAAAAAAAGTTAGAATACACACTAATGCAATTTAGGCTTAAAAAAATATTCATATTCAACAACAGCAGCAGGAGATACTTCACGTATCTCCACACACACACACGTCTGCTGTGCCTTTGCACTGCCCAAGCTGTGCAGCTCCCCAGGCACAGCAGGATAACCTGTGCTGGGGCAGGAGGCTCCTCGTGCCCCGCCGGCCCGTGCAGGTCCCACACGTGCGAGTCCTCCCCTGTCAGTCACTTCTTTATCGCTCCATCTGACAGCTCAGCTCTCGCCTTGTGTTTCTGCTCTTGCAAGGCAGGGCTGCACTTCTCCACGTATGAAATGCTTGGCTGTTGCATAAGTTATGGTCTGTTAAGTGTTTTTCAGACAAGGCGCGGTTTTATTCCGCTCCAAGAAGGTTTGTGGGAAGGGTCCTGTGAGTGTGTGAAAAGTGCTGGGGTTTAGCCTGTGTGTGAAGCCTCTCTGAAACCCAGATTGTGGCTGGTGTTAGATGGGAGCATAGCTTACAAACCCTATAAAGAGTTTACACAAAGGTTTAGAGAGCAGGAAAATGTTTGCTGAGATGTAGAGCAGCAAATCTCTAAAGCCAAAATTCTGCAGTACATAATACTGAGGGCTTTAGTCCTTGGGTTCTTGCCATGAAACACCAGTGGGTTTAAGTTCATAGGAAAATACATTTGCACATGGACCTCCATGCTCAAAGACAGGGTAAAGTTTATGTAAGCCCTTCTGACAGATTTTAACCTGTAAGTTCACAGTGATGATTGTGCTGCTTAGCTGTGCCCAGTTTTCCAAAGGTTTTCTGAGTCTCAGCTCTCCTTTTGCTAGTTTCATTCAGTACATTTTCTACTGTTTGTAGACGAGGACAAGCTGCAATTTTCATAGCTGCTTTTTGAGCATTTTTCTAAACGTGGTAGTGTCTCTCTCATTCAGTTGTGGACCACCAAGTAAGTCTTGTCAGCTCCCATTCTGCTTGGACTCATGGATTATTCCTTCTTCTGGAAAAAAAAAGAAAAGGTGCCCTGAGGCCTTAAAGTTTTTGTTGGCTGTCTGTATGTGGGGAGTCTGTTTTGTGAAGAGGCTGCACATTCATTGCTTGAGGTCATTTGGAGGTGGGAGGTGAAATATCCTTGTGCTTTGGTGTGACCTTGATGATGCATTGGCAGAGCTTTGATGTGAAAAGCTGAGAGTGCTGCTTTGGGCCAGCTGTAACTAGTCCATGTCGCCGTTCATCAGTTTTAGGGTTTCAGAAGGGAACAGTGCAGATTAGGAGAGAGCAGCACACAAGATTCTTGTCACTGGGCAGCTTTTTGGTTCTTGTGACCGGTTTCCATAGCAGGAAAATACGCAGCTTTGGTTAAACCTGTTATGTGTGACTTTGTTGTTGTGCTCTAAAATGATTCCTGTATTTAACAGCAGCGTTGAGCGGTGTAAAATCTGCTGTTGCCAGATAGAGAGTGGGTGTTGTGCCAGAGTGTTTGTGATAGGAGCTGCTCCGGCAGCTGAAGGGCAGCTGGCAGCTCTCCTGCCTCGTCATGCGCGCTGGCAGGCTCCGGGCAGCCCGGTGAACTGATTCACCACACCAAAATAACCTGCTGGGCCGGGCTCTTCTTGTGAACCCTCGTGCACCTCGGCGTGATCAAGGATAGACAATGAGATTGTCTTCTGGGAGCTGGGAGTTTGTGCATTATTAACACCAAATAGGAGTGGGATTTGTGTTTTGAGCTGAAGATCCCAGCGTGTGCTGGGATTCCTCTTGTCCAAATCCACGCACCTTTGGGAAAACAAGCAGTGACTTCTTTTTGCCAGATCTGCAAGGTGATCCCACAGATGTGCTTCCACAGAGTTGGGTGCAAGTATGGGGGCTTGTCTACTAGGCATGCTCTTCCACTGGCAACAGGAGTCTTTTAATCCCAGTGCTGGTGGCATTGTCATCTGTCCCACAGCAGCGATTCATGGCAGTTTTTCTTTCTTTTTCTGAACATCTGCCAACTCTATATGAGAAGAAGAGTGGTCCCCAGCTGCCATTTAAAGAAAGGTGGTGGCAGGGAAGGATTTCAGATTTTGTAGAAGTGAGGGGTATCCCTGGGGAATGTTTGTAGTAAAAACCTGATCGTTTTACCCCGGCAAATCCCAGGCACTATTTTCTGAAGTGAAGGGTTAGCTCACTGAAATTCCATCCTGTGTGGATGTGGGCAGCCCTTGTGCCACTGCAGCTCTTTGAGCAGCCTTAGGAAGGTACCAGGGCAGTTGTGCAGAGCAACCTCTTGCCAGGGTCTTTTCTGTGCTTACTGCAGTCCCCTCCTTTGCTTTGGGTCCTCTGATTCCTCTACAGAAATCAGTACTGATGTCCTCATTCTGTTTGTGGTAAATTCTGAAATGAAGTGCATATTTAGCAATGGTTTTAATCTCTTTAAAAATTACTGTCATATTTGTTTCTGTTTTCAAGAGCAACTAAATACCTTTTTTCTCTCCAGCCTCCTTCCACTTCCCCAGGCTGCCAGGGTGCAGAATCGCTCCTTTTAACTGACAATAGTTAATCACCACCTTTTGCAAAATGGCCTGCAATGTATTTTCTTTCTGTTGCTCTTCTGCCAGCCCACTCTGTTCTCCTTCATTTTGATTTATGGCTCTACATGTGGGTATGTTAATGGAAAACCTTGGAGGGACAGATTGTGTATGCTCAGACACCGCTTTGGGAGGCGCGTGCATTTGGCTGCCTGGGTTTCTGTGTGTGTGCTGCGTTATGGCTCAGCAGAGCGAGCAGGGTGTGCATTTAATTTAGTAAATGTCTCTCCTAACCTGTCACAGCACTGCTTGTTTTTGCTGGAGCATATGCTCTGGTGGGGGCTGTTGATTCAGCAAAAGTAATGGTAGCCGATAGAGCTGATCAGATGCTCCAGAAGTAGTTTATCACATAAATTATTCAGCGGCTGTTGGTGTTTCTTATCACATAATGTGTTTGACCACTTGGAGGTTGGTGTGCTCTGGTGCACAAGATTGCTGAGGGGGCTTTTCTGCTTCACTCACCTTTGGTGCAGGTACAAAGGTTTCCTGTGCTCCTTGCTGGCAGTACAAGAGGGGAGGTGAGAGCCTTTGAGGTCTGTTAAAGGCTTAAAGTCCTCTTAAAAAAATTCACAGTTGGAGAAAAGCCACAGAGAGCCCCAAAGAGCCACTAACTGTGTGTGTTAAAGATGGTATCCTTCATTCAACACTGCCACAGTTGTGCCAGTAAAAGGGATAACTGAATGGTCCCTGGGTGCTGACCTCAGGTAACCCATCTGTCTGTGCCCAAAGCTGAGCTAGCACAACCTTTGGGGCTGATGGAGCTGTGGGAGTGGCAGGCAACCTCCAGCAGAAGCCAGCAGGCCTGCTAGTTGTTTGGAGAGTGGGTGTCTGGCTGTATTGCAGCACAGGACTGCACACGGCTCTGCCAGCAACAAACCAGTTTAAACTCTTTTTGTTTGGTTGAAGAGCTTGTGTGTCTCATGTTTCTCTACAGAAAGTTTGACTGCCATCTGATCTGACACATCTATACTTGTATCAGCGCTTGTAAGGTTTGGTTATTTTTTTGTTTTCTGGAGCAGGTAAGTTAGTCGCTTAATGCTTAGGTTAATCACATGAGTATAAACCTTCTAGGATACACATAAGTGGTTTAGATACAAAATACTGAGGGTATTGTGTAAAACTGCACCTAAGGAACATCCTCTGTTATCTTCCACCTGCAGTTGTCCCTGTCACCTGCCTGACTTGACTGGGTCTCACCGTGTAGCAGCCGTTTCCCATCCACAGTACTGGAGTCAATTTTGGACATGCAATATCAAAACACCTTCTTATGGTGGCTTGAGTCTTGACAGGTAGGTTGGGAGTGGCAGGGGGACCCCCAAGATTTTGGATTTTTTCCCAGAGATGCCTTTGTTGAATTGCATTTGAAATAGTTGTCTGACCCCTCCTCTAGTAGTTGTTTGCTGGGCAGTGCTTTTACCATATGAACATCGATGGTGAGAGTCCCAGTTTCCCTTTCAGAAGTGAAAGAAGATCAGGCCTGCAAGTCTGTCTGGGACTATAACTTGCCTGTGCACAGTCAATTTGCATTGCAGATGTGGTTTCTTCACAAGCCAGGGGCTGGAAGGCAGGCTGTTCTCCACAGACATCCCACAGTCCCCATGCCCATCCTTGCCTGTTGGGCACTGTCTTGTCCCTCAAGCACTACAGCTTCTCCAGCAACCTCTGCAATATTTTAACTTAACCTGGGGCTTGTTGGGATGGTGAGTGGCCAAAGCAGCCAGTTAACCCCTGCTCCATCAGCTCAGCACCCTCCCCTTGGTGTTGAGATGCCTCCTGCATGGTGTCTGGTGGAAATGTTGTTTTCTGCGGTATTTTAGATGAACCCACTTTTGCATCCTGCTTGAAACAGTTCATAAGGAGATGTGGGTCCCCTTAGATCCATGAAAGTTGCTGTGAGCAGAGAATGTGAAGCTGTGATCCTGGCTGTGCTCCAGGATGCTGTCTGTGTGTGGAGCTTAGGAGGCACCATCAACAGCATCACCTCCTGTAATACTGTTTTTTTCCATGGCCACCTATTTCACATGGAAGAACAGGGCAGGGGAGGCTTCCCTTGAAGGGGGTCTAGGATGCGCTGAGGTCTGAAGGCTCTGCTTCACTGCCCTGCTTGGGAGGGCTCTGATTCAGCTGCTCCTCAGGCTGGTCAGTACTGCTGCTGCTGGCACAGTGGTTCACTGGGGGTTGTGGGGGTAGGACAGGGCTGTTCTGGCAGTGGGCTGGTGTGGGTGGAGTTTCATGGCACAGGTACCTTGGTGACAATGTTCCCCACTCCACCCTTGGCTTCTTGTCCTGGGTTCTGGAACTGAGTGAACCTCCCCTCATGGTGACACAACTGCAAGGTGAGACTTTGTGCCAAGCACGTCTGCATTTAAAGGAAACACAAAACTGATTTTATCTTACCTGCTTTTAATATTATTACTTTTAAGACCTGAATCTGTTCCTCAGTTAGTGAAGCCCCATCAAAAGTTGCTGACAGCCCAGGGGGCAGCCAGGTGTGGGGTGAGAAGGAGGTGCCAGACACTTCTGCTGCAGAACTAGGCAGGACTTTTATCTGCTTGTAGAAAGATCATCCCTAGGTTATGAGGGCCTCATGGTAGGTAGAACTCACAGTGAGAGTTTCTGTGGCAATTTCTGCTGCTCATACCACCTTGAACACCAAGAATTCCACTGATTATTTGGAGAGGGAAGGATTTAAAAGTCACAAATCGGGAGCCAAATGTCTCCTGGGCTACCTCAGTGCCTGTAATCACCACCCCTCGTGTGCCTCCTGGCTCTTGGTGGACTGGGAGTCAGCCAGCTTGTCCTACATTGGCCTGTGCAGGGAGAGCAAGGGGGATCTGCAGCCTGTGGGAGTATTTCATGTACTAAAACGTGACTCAAGGTGCAGCTCAGTGCCATGTTTTCTTTAGCAACAAAACAAACCAAATCCACTTAACCAAACTATTCCTGCTTCAGCAGCCTGGGCTTTTCCTCATGCCACTGACCAACCTGTGGGGTCAGAGTGTAAGGGAGTACTGAAATAACCAGAGATTAGTTAAAAAAAAAAATATCCGTTTAAACAGAAGAAAATTTGTTCCTGAATTAAGCTCTTTCATTTATGAGCTGTTTGGTCTTTCAGCATCTGATAACATTGTAAAGCAGTAGAGCGTGTGACTGGCCTTGTAAGTGTGTGTCTGAGGAATCTGTCTCCACCCTGAAACCAGGGGAAGGAGAGGAGGCACTCTATTTTTGGCGAAGGTTACTTTGTGTATTTACATTTTCTGCTCAGATGAGTTGCCTCTAATGTCCAAATCTGAGTGATTCACTTAGTTTGGGGGGGTTTCCCCTTCAGCCTTGTGGTAGCTCTGCAGTGCTGCAAAGGGATGCAGATCTGAGGCCGTTCAAATATTGCTTAGTTTTTCAGTTTATCACAGTCCTTCTTGATCTTTCCTCCTGGCTGTCATGTGGTGAGCACTCGAGTTCATTGTTAAGGTCAATTTGTTGTTAACAGGAGAGGAGACCATGCTGGACTACCTCAGCATCCTCAGGGCAGTGGCACTAACTGTGTTGGAAGGCACCACTGCAGACATCCAAGTCATGCTCCAGAAGGTATGCTGTTATTCTGATTTGCAATTTACTTCCAAGATGTTCCTGTGACCAGGATTTAAATTCTCTTTTATTTTAGTAGCTGAATGAACATTCTTCTCTCATGAGAACACACTGTACTAGGCAGAAAGGAGTTACCTCTCTGGAGTGATACTATTTTGGGCAGTGCCAGGCTTTTCATTGTCATGGCAAAGTGTCTTATGTAGCATTAAAGTAAAATGGAAAATGCTACCTTCTCCATCAGCAAGTTCAGCAATAAATGCAGCTTCCACCAGGGAGTGTGAGTCCTGGCATTAGTTCTGAGAAAAGCAGTGATGCTGTGGGGCTGGACTGGATCACTTACACACAGGTAACGTGACCCAGACACAGTAAGGGAAAGTGGCTTGAACACGAGAAGGTCATGTTGTGTTGCTTCTCTGGTTTCCCAAGCTAAGGCCCACTGTGTGTCCCTGAAAGACCTAGGTAAAGCTAAAATTAAGTCAGTCAGATAAATATTTATAGTAGATATGTTAGGATATAATCCTCAAGGGGTCTGATTGCTCTCTCTTTACTCCGAAATGTACAAAAGGGAAAATAATAATGCTATAAATACAGTCATGTTTAGCTAGGTCATTACAATGGAGTGTTTCTGGTCCTTCTCTGGGGATTGGAATTGCAGCAGTGAAAAAATTAGCAGGGAACTGAAAAACCAGTAGAGGGTGATCCCTTTGCCAAGGATACTTTGGTTGCAAGGCCTCAGTTATGCAATGATTCATCATTACAGTAGCAATCAGGTTTAAAGTCCTTGTATGTGCAAGTCATGGCAAAACTGGGGCAGCCCTTGTACAGGCTGGTCAGACCATTTTGTTGCAGATTTCTTCGGAGAAGCCTCACCCATCAGATCTTTTGGTTTGTTTGTGGTGGGTTTTTTCTAGTTTCTTTTTGCCTTGTATTAGAAAATAGAACAGTGCACAAGATTTGAGGATTCAGGCAAAAATAATAAAATTATTATGGTATTTTTCAACTGCAAGTTTCTTACAACAATTTACAGATATATCTTCCAAAGCATTTAATATTTGTACACAGACAAAGTGCAACTTTCTACAGTAAAGGAGTTTCTTTGATTTGGTTTTGTTCTTTCCCTTTATAGGAGCAAGACTCAGTGCTGCTGAGCATGTGCTTCCCCTGGGCCAGGCTGCTCCAATTTCAATAATACTGTGGGTAGAGTTTGCAAGAATTAAAACTGGCTTGCTCAGAAAGTGAAAGGACCCAGCTTTCATAAACCCACGATCCCCAGCTCCTGTGGGAAAGACTCTGAGGTTAGTGTGGTGCTCCTTTGACCATGAAGTTCCTGGTATATGAAAGTCTTGCTGGGAAATGTTTAGTTTGTAATTTGTTCTAGATCCCCCCACGGAGGAGGGGAGGCTGGGAATGTGGGGGTGTGCCTCCTGCCTGCGGCTGCACGAGCCTTTCTGCTTGCGTGTTGGGAAGCAGCTCCAGGAGAGTCAGGAGGGAGCTGTGCAAAGCAATGCTTGCCTTATTTTCCAAGGGGAAAGCCAGCATACGTGCAGAAACTCTTTATCCATCCTTTTTGCTGTCTGGTAACTTGATTCCAGGTTATTCTCCTTAATGTCGTGTTTGTACTCATTAGACCTTAGGAACCTTGCTGCTTTAATTCCTATTGCTCTGTGCTTGGCTCTGAGTTTGTGCAGCACAGCAGCCTGTGTAGGAGTGTAGCAGTTTTGGATAAGCACGCATTGGTTAATCCTGCACATGACACCATTGCTACCATAAATCTGTCTAGCTGGTGCACGCCAAGTGTTTTACTCCATGCACAGTGTCCATGGGGTATATTTAGGGTCAGGACTATATTTAGTACGTCGTTCTGAAACGTCTGACAGCCAGAGGGTCTGGGTTGTGGGTGCCTTGGTGTTTGAGTGTCAACAATGAGCTGGAACTTTCTCCTGTGTCATCGGTGTTTGGGCTACGCAACCAGTAAAGAATTGGTTTGCTTGAATTCGTGTCGTCACTCTGTGGCTGATTTTCAGCTATTCTGTGACAGTAGGATCTCTGAAAGAGAAGGAGTACAATCCCTTTCCTTTGCTGAATGTAGTAGCAATGATGTGCAAGAAGGAAGTGGACAAAGTGTGGTGTGATCTGTGTTCTGGCCTGGAGTTCCTGGGGTCTTCAGCCAGCTGTCCCAGTGTATCTGGGTGTGTGTAGACCTGTGACTGTCAGTGTGATGGAGAAGTAACCTGTAACAGGGACCAATCAATTTGCTCTTACCCAGGCAGAGAATTTAATATCTCTACTGTAAATCATGTTTGGCACAAGTTTCACCTAGTGTCATCATTCATCTTCACACCTAACTTCCCACACTCTTTTCCCCTTGACCGCTGTTTCAGACTCCTCTCTTGTGGTTGTGCACTGTTGTGTTGAATGGGTGGCTGCAGTCACTCCTCAAACACCTGCTGAGCTCTGGAAATTTTATCACACGTCAGTCAGCATCACGTGGTGGGACTAGATTATACTGAAACAAAATCCTCTTTTCTTTTTTTTCCCCCTCCCCCAGGTGGATAGCTGAAAACATCCTCGTTCAGACAGACCTCCTACAGAAGCCTGTATGAGTCTGGCAGACACTAGAGCTTGAATAGGGTTCATGAGTTCATTTTGACTTAATAGTTCATATGAGTATGAGCATTTGAAAAAAAAAAGTAACTCTGCCTCTTCTCCAGTGAAGATCTTTCAGCTTTGTGCTTGACAACTGCATTTATCTGATCGTGTACAAGAAGACTGATTTTCAGGTGATTTCCTTGTAATGTCAAGCCATAAAGCAGCCTGGAGTCTGATCCCAGAGGACCTTACCCAGCACTGTCTGCTGTCTGCAGCCAACAGTCATTTCTTGCAAATAATTAAACCCCTGTGGAGCATCAATAGCTGAGTTGCTGATATTGCATTTAGATAAGAAGGAGGATCTGTAGGTGATGCAGAAGAATTACTCTGAAGAATCTGTTCTTTCTCTAAAGCATTTTCTAACAGAAAGCCGATGTCTATCAAATCTTCCTCTCGCCAATTAAATTTAGGGCTGAAATTGCTGCTTTTGTAGAGCTTCAGGAGGTCCAGCCCTCACAAGCACATCGGTTTGTTGCTCCATTTGTGTTCTGGATCAGTGCAGACGAAGGCTGTGATCAGACATATCCCAAAGCACCCCAGACCTGGCACTCTCTCCCCACTCCTGGCTGCCTTTAACTGCAGGTACCAGGACAAGATCTGGAATCAAACCTTTCTCAGCAGGTGCAGCCTGTTCCCATCCCTGTTGAGGGCAGCCCCATGAACACTGTCACAGGCTTCCCCAAGCACGTACCTGCACTTGCCCCTCACATGGGAAGCTCACTGACATGAGTGGAAGCTCACTGACTGCATCTTGAGCCTTCAGTGAGAGCCAGGGTGTGTACCCTCCTCCCCTCATCAAACTGTTGATTCAGAAGAGCTAAACACTCACAGCTCCTGCCACAGATAATGGGAGCCGCAGTAAAAGCTCAGCAATCATGAAAATCAAGCCTTCAATAGCACTCTTGGGAAAGGAGATGGCCTATCCTGCCACAAACCTTTAAAAGCCCTGGTAGTGCAGTGAAAGTGGTTTGTAATAGCAGGAATTCATTTGTTAATAAATTTCCCCTTTCTTGTCCTGTCACTAATTCAGTGCACTTCAGCTGCAAGGTGGCTGGTGCTCATGCTGGGGAAAGGCAACTCAGGGCTCAAGGCATCTTGGCAGGGTCACGTTTTGAGAAAAGCTTCCTGGCTCATTTTGGTGTACATGGGCTCACAAATGTACCTCTTTACTAGCTTGGTCAGCAGTTGGTTTCCTTCTGGAGTATATGCTGTACATAAAGAATAGCAACTGTAATAATTTTAGGAGAATAAGTTTAAAGAAAATACATGGGAAAGAGGGATTGACCACATAAAACACTAACAAGAGACAGTCTTGCACTGGCAGTGAGAAGAAAGATGTTTTAATGGGCTTCCCTGATTACCACTACTGACTTAGTAGAACCTTCTACTCTCCTTAATGAGAATAGCTGAACTCTCCTAACTTTAGGAGTGACCTCTGTATGACACCTTTGCTTGAGGCTGGAGCCAGGCTGGTGTTCCTGGAAGAGGTGGGAGTACTCAGTTATTTATGGCTAAGTCTTTTGAAAGAAATAAAATTGTGCTGTACCAGAATAACTCACTGCATCTCACCTGGTATTTATCCTGTCCTGAAAATAGGAAGTTAAACGTGTAATCAGAAATTTCAGAAGTGCTGTTTCTTTTCTTAGTTTGTTTTGAGTAAGTGTTGCTCTTAAAAACTAGAGAGGGTTAGGAGACTGGTGGTGTTTTCAGAATGGTTTGTCCATTTGCAGTCTGGAGCGGTGCTGTGGAGCCTCTCTGACAGGCAGTGGATCCCTCTGTGAAAGGCAGGCAAAGCAGAGGCACTGCCATTGAAGCCTTGTGCTGTGCCTTCCTCACAAGTGAAAATCAAATAAGTTTCAGCAGTGGAAAAAAAATTGAATTGTCTGCAGGCCCTTATCATGCCCAACACTTAACAAACCTCATGGCCCTGAGTCCTTTACAAGGTGAAGTAAGAGGGCCTTCCATGTCCTCTGTGGCTGGAAGGAAACACCAGCATGCTTTGTCCATGTGGTTTGAGACAGTCCAGAACTCCTCATCTTGGAGTAGATGTAAGAACTCTTGTGCTTTATGCAGAAGCCCATTCTTGGACCAATATGCTGTTTCCTGATACTCCTGGAAAAGAGTTTCCTGCCTTGAGATAACCAGAAGTTGTTAACCTTAGCTAGGATTTATCCAGATATCCGATTTACTAGCAGTACCCATACAGGAGCTGTGGAAACTGATGAGGTTGTTGATGTGCCAAATTCTTCCATCGGGCTCTTCCAGCCAGGGCAGGAGAGGCAGTCTCTGATTAGCTCACCTTTTTTGAGGGAAGATAGGAGGAAGAGAAA